GTAGCTGGCTGTGTTAAAAAAACCAAAGACACTTGCAACTGGTATGCCCACAGGAAAATGCAGGTCTCTGCACTTATCAGCTGCAAATAAAAATACTTTCCACTGAACCTTAATTGTAGTCATAAGCTAAAAATAACTGCATACAGTCAGAATTTGAATGCAGAAGTACAACTTTTACAGTCTGGAAAAACTGGCTTCTCCAGAACTCCACAAGTGAGCAATAACCTAAGCTGCTCCCAAGTGCAAAATTACCACAGCCCTTTTGTCTACCTGAGTCTATTAAACACCCCATCTCCATAAATGCTTGAAGAATTAAGTGATGTTCACAGAGAGCTCACAGCATTCCCCTGTGGGATTTTACAAATCCAAACACTGCATGCTTACCAAAGCCACAAACCCACAGCAGGTAGGAAGGAAGCAGGGTGGTGTTTAAAACTGCAGCTACAGCTTGAAGAAGCCCAGATGTCTGAATCTGCACTTTGAAGCTCACTCTAGTTCTGTGCTTCACACAGTATCTACTCAATTTCTCACTTTCAAACCCTCYCTCCCCAAACTGCCATTTAGAAAGAACAGCTCAGCAGAGGAAAGCAGAAGGCACACAGAGCCAGTGCTGGGAGATCTCAACATACTCTGAAACAAATGTTTCACTCCAGGACCAACAAAGTTCAGCACAGATCTGAAAGCCCCAGCAGCTCTCACCTCCACTGCAGCAGCACATCTAGGCCTTCCATTCAGATTCCACTGTAATAAGTACTACAATRAAGACAGTAAACTTCTAGGTGTAGRGTGTTGTAGGTGTATGCTTTCTTTGGGAAAAAAGCYATTTGACAAGAAAAAATACTTGACAGGAGTCTTAGATACACAATCTACACTAAACTGTTAACACAGAACCACCTTCATAAACATGGCTATTTTACCTACAGTCTTATGTACACTCACTGAAACAACACTGAGGTACCTGAAACCATCAGGACTGCATGAATTAGCACTGCTAGATTTCCATCCCTCTCTTGGTTCTGAAAAGCACTAAAAAGGAGGATTCTATGTTGCACCTGCCAAAGGTATGTGGATATCCCAGCCAAAATTCTTTAATTCTTGCCAAGAGGATGAAACTAAAGGTCTCAAAACCAAGTCTGTCCTCTGAAGTTCTTCTCACTCCCATCCCCTTCTTTCACTGAAGATGCAGTACATTAAATTGGTGAGATGTAATTTCACCTGAAAGCTCTTACTGCATACTATGCTCCCATCCTTMCATGAATAAACCCTTGAATTTCAAAATGAGAAAGGCAGTATTACTCACCATCTAGCAGTTCTAGAGTAACTGAAGGATCTACATATTCCCACCAGTGTTTTCCATCAGTTGATACTGGAATYTCCCAGTTGGACCACTTGCAGGCCAAGTGAATGCACACACATGCTATCACTGTRGGCTTGTACTGAAGACAGAATGTAGTAAGGTGAAGGCTGTTGCACAAATTTCGTAATGAGGAACCAAAGGAAATCAAACATGTAAAACAGAAAATCCAAACAAATCAACCATTAACATACAGAATCACATAGCTTGTCAATCAACAGCAGTTAAACATTTTGTTGAATAAGTTCATAGGATATCTTACTGCCCTAAGAAAAAAAGGGCAGGACATTTATCTGGTAGAAAAGTTTGATTTGTTTTTGCTATCAAAAGCCTAATGAACAGTAAGCAATTTTAAGTTATTCTACTGTACTTAAGTACTAAAAAGAGGCAGTATAATTTGGTGAATTAAAATTCTGCAGTAAAAAGAATTCTGCATAAAGCTGATTGTGCAGTCTCCGAATGAGACAATAAGAATGTCTCCAGCAGTCCCACAGGAGCCAGGTGAGTTTCTTMTGGGCTTTGCTTTCACCAGGCCCAGATTTCTGACATTTGTGACCTTTTCTTCAGCTTCCAGAACTGCAAACCCMTTGGTTCACTTTCAATGCTTTAGCATAACTTGTCTTAACAGCTGCTTAAGTACAGAATCTTGCCCATCAAGGAACAAGCAGCATTTATTTATTTATTTTGAACAGTTCTAATAAGCAGCAGATATTGTTTAAAAACTATTATCTACACATAAATGTATCCTCTTAAATAAAGGTTAAACTAGTTTTGCAAGAGTCAAATTGAAGTAGTCAAGAAATCAGGAAAAGTCTTCTAATTCTTTCTATGACAGGCTATGTCTACAAAGCACCCATGTGAAATCCTAGAATTCTAAATTTATCTAAATACTTAAGTTTTAAAACTATATATTAAGATTAAAGAGCTATTTTTAAAAAAAATAACATTGAGCTAGTACTAGTCTATCTAAAGAGAAAAATCAGCTAATAGTATCTTAAAATCAGCTAAGAAAATATCTTAGGCCCACTAGAGTTTTTAAATTAAGACTGGATCAAGATACTTTAAGTTAAGAGAAAACTGCCATTAACTACAAGTGTAAACTAAAAATAGTTTTGTACTTACCAAGATGCTCGGGTTTCTAGGTTAAGTTTATCTCTTTGTAATCTTTAGCTGCTATTCAGGCTACCAATTTTAGACTTATGCACTCACAATCGAGAAAAAGTCATCAGAAAGCAGCACTACACTTCTCATTGTGCATTTAAGCCCTTTGTGCCATCAGGCCCTTGTCCAATACACCGCACTGCAGGCRGGGAGGTGCCACCACTGGAGGTGGCCCAGTCCCCCGCTGCAACAAGGGTAAGACACATCAGGGGGCCCTGCAGTAAAGGAAGCTATAGTGTGCTACAACAGTGCAACAAAGAGGTTCAGGATAACAACCTGTTGGTAGCCATGAAATAGGATGTCTGTGCCAAATCCTTGCTTGCTGTAAGAAAAGAAAAACGGAGATATTAAAAGATCTGCACTAACTTGGCAGGTTCATCCCAAAATTAAAGCAGTTTTACCTTCCAAAATCACTGCTGGGTATTTCTAAAGAACTGGTCTGACTGCAGCTAACTAGCCTTTCAAATAATCTTTCCTGAGACACAGAAGAGGCTGTCACACTCAGTACTGGAGCTGGAYCTGTCATTCCCTTCACTGGCCCTCCCTCCTCCTGTACACCCCACAGTTTCCCTCTACTATGGACYCCTCCAACACCCCACAGGTGAGCATTCTCCTCTGGGAAGCGCTGCTTCCCTGCTCTCACCTGCAGGGGATCCCTGCCTTAACCCGGGACTGCAGCAGGCAGGCAGGCAGCCAACCCACAGCACAGTGCTTGTCCTGCTCTTGAGAGGTGCATGGCAGGACACCCTCCCACCTCCCCAGAAACAGCCACCTCTCTGTCCCAAAGCCCTGGAGCACAGCAAGTCYCCAAGCTACAYGGGAAAAAATGCAGAATTTTCTGCTCCTTCTAATTAAGAGCACTGTAGTCATAACATTTTGCTCTACATTTGTTAAACCTATGGCAAAGCTTCGATAGGAAACAGAAAAATTCATTTGAGTTAGTCAGAAAAAAAATAWCAAAACAAACCACAGGACTGCAACATGCCAGAGATGAAAAACTGACTTAGGCTGTTACAGTCAGGTAGTACTGACCCCTAGAGTGACACCCCAATGCTCCTCACTCAGGTAAGAGAACTTACTGTAACATGCATTAAATGGAATAGCTGGGCACAAGGGGTTTAACCGTAGAGGGAATGCAGCCTTCATTGAATTCTTACTTTGACACTATCACTTGAAATCAGTGCTACCTGCAGAAAGCGTAGTGTTGAATTTTATGTCAAAGGGAATACTGTTAAATTTTTATTTTAATAACAGTATTTCTATAAAGTTTGAGAAATACTACAGTGGCTTTTAAAATTAAATTTTTAAAAAGAATATTAAAATGTGATTTAACTCAAGTTCTAACTATTGCCAAGAAATAAAATTCAGATTTGTCTTTATGCTGCAGCCAGGCAGTGCCATAGTCTGGGAAGAATGTGAAAGTAGCAAGGTAACRGGATCTGTTCCTACACACAAATTCTACTAATCCATAATGATCAGAAGGTGAACTGACAATGTGTTATACTATGATATTTAGTTTGCACACTGTAATGGTAACTGCACGACAAATAACCATGGAGTTCAACCTCTTCCTCCCATCTAAAAAAATGTAAGGTGGAACTACAAAAATAAAAAAAAATTAAAAAAAAAGACTATCATAACAAATGAAAATACAAAATGGTTGAGTAAGACTGAATTTGATGCCTTGCTCAAAGCAATACCAAAAGGATCTTCAATGATTTATATACCGTGTAAAGTAACATGTTTGAATTAAGGGAGCGAGACCAAGAGGTATCTCTMCTCTCACTGAAATGTCCCCTTTTGAACAAGGAAGAAAAGCAGAAGCCAGAAAACTTCTATTTAACATCAGCTTGAAAGTTGAGTAAATCAAAACACAAACCTGGAAGAAAAGAATCACATCTTGAAACACACACTTTAGCTTTAATCAAAATTACTGTGGTAAATACCTCACCTACACTACAAGTAGTATGGTTCTGTTTCAACTTATTTACAGCTAAATGATAATCATTGCCAAAACTAGCAAGAAATTTCAGCTCCCAACTAAAGCCTTTGATAACACAAGGCATATCTGAAAATATCCATCCCAAACTCTTCTGTTATATATAGGATAGCTTTGGTTTTGCAGAATCCATCAGTGAAATTAGATCTAATGAATTTTGGTTCCTATATTTTGGTGGTTTATTTCCATGATAGCTGTGGAAAGTTCATCTCCAAATTGAAATCATCTTGAAGCAGAGGCTAAAACAAGCCAGCAGAGCTGCTCTCAATAACTCACAAGCCGCAGGACCGATGGCTACGACACCAGCCATGAATGACCAGTTTTAGATTTTAGCAKTTAGGAGTGATTAAAACAACCATCCTGTCTCACTGCTGCAGAAGCAGTCRTAAGACAGGGATTAGTGAAGCAGTAATCAATATTTTGAAACAGGACTTGCTGTCTGACACACCTTCCAAAAGGCTGTCTCCAAGAAACTGCCAWCTGGAAACCAAAATGCTTTTTACTRGGCATRCCAYACTATTCAACCAATTSCAATTCCAAGAYACCTGATACTCTTCAACACAGCTTATCTTGGATCTTGGGATGCTCATGAAAATGGGACTGACAAGTCCCCATCAGGAGCCAGTAACAGGCTATGCCCAGACCCTGACAAGGTGTGAGCATTCCCCAGAAAGAGGAGATTGCAGATAAGCCAGTCAGCATCAGGAGAGAGAAGCTTGCTGAAGTCCTTCTGGCCAAAGGAAAAAGCCCCAGGCTCTGAACAGAGGTGTGCTGGTGGGTGCCTGCTGTATCTGGAAAGGGCTGGAGGAGGCCATGGTGTAGGCATTCAGGTGAGCAGTCCTGGTGGCTTTAATCTCTTGCAAGGATTAAAAGCTTGGGAACTTGAGGCCTGTAAAAGCCTGAGGACAAAGTTCAGAATGGGAAGGCCACCTGTAGCAGTGCTGGAGTGCAGCTGGTGTTTCACGTGTTTCCACACCACTAAGACCTAAATTTTCCTCATGAGAATACCCTCTGAAAAAGCTGATGCATTTTCACCTCCTCTTCTGCTGACTTTCTTTCTCAGCCTGATTTAAACAATGGCATCTGTGCACACAGATACTATGGGAGATTTGAAAGATYTGACAGTGCAATTTCCACAAAAGATTAGTAAGGATCATGGGTGTTCAAGATACCTGATAACCTGCAGAGTAGCGAGAACAATCTTAGAAATCCTTGAGATCCCATCTTCAGTTCCAAAAGGTTGTGTTCCAACACAGAGAAAGGAGTGACTGAAGACTTCCCAAGATGGAGATGAGGATACAGATTCCAAGTTTCTCCAGAAGAAGGCTGAGAACAGACTGATTTTGTACCAGAGCATAGAAGGMCCATGCCACTGTCTTGGCACAGGGGTAATTTCACTGCTGATCATTCAACTAGCATTGAAGCCAGCAAGGTGATGTGACWCCAGAACAGTTTTTGGTGGGGCTTTTTTCCCCTTTTTTTCTTTTCTTGTCTTCAGTACTGGAGCATTCTTGGAATGGGCACTGAAGCTTGCTGAGAGGCCCTCACATATCCACTGCCTTCAGATTCCCTGGACCTGTGGGATCCTAAGGAATGATGGTCCTGTCTCCTCTTCTCAGTCTCTTGACACTGAGGAAGAATGGTGCAGAAAAAATACTAAGCCCACACCATTTTCCTTGTCTGCTATACTGACCAAAGTGCAAAGATGGAACAAWTTTATTAACCCATGAGTCTCTGAACACCAAAAGGAATAACTAGATACTGTATGCCAGAACATCATGAGTCATTATGTATCCATCCAGTCACCCCTTCTCTGCAAGGATCTGTGTTGTCTAGTAACACCTTCAAAAAGGCTTTCAATCTTAGAGAAGAATTCATGTTTTCTTTAGTTGTATGTTGAAGCAATTATATTAATGTGCACCAATTCCCACTTACTAGTTCATCTTCAGCTTCCAGCAGTTGATTCTGGTGTGCCACTACCAGACTAGACAGTCTTCTGACAAAGGACTTGGCTGAATCTTTTGAGCATTATCAACAGAACCTGGTGTTGAATTTTTTTTTTTTCATTTTGTTTTTAAAGGGGATAGCTTACAGCTTAATAACAGGTAACAGTGACACATTACCCTGGATGCAAGACAATAAAAAGTGATAGAGAGAATCAGCCATCCTCTGAAGCACTGCAGTTTAGCCAGCAAAAGGGCCCTTTCTCAACACATGACAATGCAGTGCACAAACCCCAAGCCAAATCCTTACGTACATTTGCAGACCTCAGCTTTATTGCCCCTTTTTTGATACTCAGTCAGACATTCATTTCCTCCCTTGCTCCCTCCTCTCCCCAAACTTACAGATGGAGGTTTTACTCATAACAGTCTTGGATAAGTTAATCATCTTTAATAAAAAAAAGGTAACTCTGCCTTCTGAAATGGCGCTTTTTGTCCAAGACGATGTTACCAGAACTGGATAAAGTAACCTTGGATTTCTCAGACCAAGGTTTAGTCCTTTAGCACTAAAAGTTTAACACTGACAAGTCTAAGGGATATTTYGAAAGCTTCAGGGCTCAGATTATCTGAGTGTTTCATCTACCGACATTGAAAACCCACCCTGTCCAATAAATATATGTTCAGGGACAGAGAACTAAACTCCTACCACTGTGYCTTCAATTTGAAGACAATCACTGTGCTCACAGGCCCATCTTTGTCCTCTCAATACATAAAACCAATGTTCCACGGCAATCATTCTATCCTTGCTTGACTTGCATGCATGACTTCAGATTTCATGCCTGATATTTTAAATTAGTTATTAATTAATTTAAAAAAAGATGTACTCAAATCTTGTGTTCAGTCTACACCATTCCTAGGGACACAGGCCCCAAGGATTCCATTTGTGTGCATGCACACACAGTAAGGAGCACACCTTCAGTGAGCAGGTTTCCAAACATCAGAGATGTTACATTCCCTGTGCACCAGTCCTTGAGCTACATGGATTTTCAGACCCCCCAAGTCTTCAGATTTCAAGACCTGATATCACTTTAGACTCCTAAGTATTTTGTTCAAGTCTACTGACATTAAATACKAGCTTTAAGATCTCAAATTAAAAAATTAGCAGTATCTTCAAAGTATGAATTTCAGTACAAAAAATTAGCACACAAAATAGAAAGAGAAAAGTTGAATTGGCTTACAGTGATATCTGCTATTGACTAAAGGAAATACAGTTTGWGCAGCAGTGTGCCTTTCTTCTTGCAGGCTTGAGTGAAGCACACAAATGAGGAAGTCCTGTGGCAAYACAATATTGCTCCCACCCCTCCCACAGCCCCAAACACCAAGAAGAAGCACAGGGGCTCCCTGAAACAGTAAAAGGTGCTCATATTTATAATGAACAACAGCTAAAACCCAAAGCAAAACCCTACAGAGCTGCTGGTGCAGACTACTGAGACTTCAGGTGCAACCGCACTCATGCACCAAGTCATTACCAAATCTGGACAGAAAGCAGAGAATCATTATCTTACAACAAGAATAGCAATAAAACTACTTTATATGCAAATCAGTTACAGCACCAGCCCTACTCAGTGTCTGAAGACACTACACCAGTCAGCTACAACAAATAAGAGACACTCTCCCTTCAAAGAGCACAATTAATTCCAGAGATAACAAATCTAGTTAGCAGGACTAAGTTGTACCTAATTTCCATATATTTTATAGAGGGAGAAGAAAAAACACCAAAAACTTTGAAGSAATTAACTATATATTTTTCACTGCAAAACCAGCTAATGACTAAAGWGTAACAACCATGATCAAATCATGCCCAAACACTTCTTAAGAAACATAATTAAAGCGAAAAGCTTATTTTAGATGCCTTTACAACTGATTCCTCCATCTTATGAGAGGACATTTAAATCTTTTTTAAAGCTCCAAAAGAAACCATTTCAAGAATTAAATTTTGGTGGCCAAAATGCCACCAAAAAATTATAAAGAAAATAGGTTCCTAGCCAGTCACATTGATGAGCTGCGTACAAGTTACAGGACATGTTTAACTAAACGTTTGGGGGTTTGTGCTACCACCAAAACAAGTAAGCACACACAGCTCCAGMAAAACAATTAGTCACACCTATTTGCATGTGACAGCTGACTTGCTATGCATTCTCTTTATCCCTCAGTTCATTACCTGAAAAAATTTGCTAACCAAAAACCTGGCATTAGCCATCAACTGAAAAAAAGGACTTCAGAGTGAAAAATCATCAATTCAGAATATTATGTATTTGGCCAATCAGTTTGCAACTACCAGCAGCTTCTGGCATTCCAGAACMCATGGAATAGGTAGTATTAAAATCAAAGCTAATCAGAAAACAAAAAAAAATATGAAGGACAGAGGACTGGACTTTTATGAAACTCTGAAGGTTAAGATCAAGCTTTTAATAAATAATTTAAAACATACTCTTTAGATAACAGAGTTAGTGAAGATCATATTAGACAAATAACATTACTTTCAAATTTTACGAGAAAGGTAAAAAAGGACTTACAGAAGTGGTTAAAAGTCACTGACCTCTCACTAATTGTGTACATTTCACAACATCTGTGTGTGGATGTTCAATGGTAATCTCAAAACCTGAAGAGTTACAAACACATTTTAGAATTATATATTTGCATCTGTTAAAATAAAAAAGCAAACCCCTTATGTCTCACCACAAACCTAAAACACTTGCTAGACCTTTGCACTGCAGAATAAGTAACACTGTTTAACTGCCTTTTATTCTTTACATTTCCATACTTTTGAATGGCAGATGGTAAAGCCACTTCGTGATCCATCACTAAAATACTCCTCCAATAATCTCAAATTTGGTACACACACAGCCTGGGGAATTACTCTATTTTTAAAGCTGAACAATTTCTTGCAAGTTAGTAAGTCAGTAAAAACTGTACTGCAGCCAAAYGGAAATATGTGTGTGCATGTGTACTTTTATTAATTTATTTCTAACACTTAAACATGTTGCATGTAAGAAATTACAAATTAAGTCAATTTAAGAAGCCTTTTTTCATTTATGTCACTGTTTTAAGAATCAGGTCACTACTGAGAGCTGTCTTTTTTAACAGTATACCCCAAGTAAGCAAGTCAGTGCTCTCAGATCTGCTGGCTGTGATTGTCCCTACACTATTTTAAAGTCAGAAAAGTTTATTGACAGAAACTTCCTCTTCAAATTTTGGAATCATCTGGATCCATTAAATGGTTACACTACAACTTGTGCTGTTCAGAGTCACTACCTGATCAATTACAAAATGTTCTTCTATGGAAGGGCAGAATGGGGAAGAGCAYTTGGTACAAAGCTCTCTCCAACTGCTGCAGGACACACACAGCCAGCCTAGTGTAACATGACACCTTATGGGAAGAAATATCAATGTAATTACTACTTGGAGTAAAATCTATTTGCAAGCCTACACATTTCTAACTCAAACTGCCAGAAACATCTCTTTCACAAGTACAGACACACCTYTTTTTCTTCACAGTGAACAAAACAGAACTGCTAACATGAAACTTAATTCACAGGTCAGAAGTTATACAGGAAAACAGTAAATTCTAGTGTACCAAYAGCACATCAAAAATGCAGTTATTTGGGTCCCACTACTTCTTCATGGCAAGTTGGCAGCACAGGGGGTATTTAGAAAGACATACCTAAAGTTTGAAGCATTATTGTTTCAAGTATAACCAGCTCTTGGGCYTGTTGAAGGTATGCCTGAAACAAAGAAGCAGACAGGTGAAGACACAGCAATCTCTTATCTCACACACTGCATATTTGATCCCAGCATCACAAGACCAGTACCCAAGCCAGTGAGCACTGACAATTCAGAACACTTCACAGTTAATTTCTTCCACCAGTACAAGCACTGCTATAAATTCAGTTACACCTGCCTGTCTTTCACAAGAAGACTAACTCAGTCTGAATCTCACAAAATCTATTCCAGTACAGCGTTTTTGGGGGAACAGATCAGGGGTGTGCTATAAGAATTTGAAGATGGAGCAAACTCTTCAAGTTTCATAACAAGTAAGTGAGTCTTTAATAAACTGCATTAAGTAACAGAAAATACTTAAATGGTGTAAAAACAAAAAGCTTTTTCCTAGACAGCAGACAGCAATACTCCAATAAAACAATGTAAAAAAATCATAAGATGAAATGTCATCTTTCAAACCATGTATCTTTGAAACCATAACTTCCACCTACATCACTCTTTGTATCCAGCTGTGGCTCTTGAGGATGAAGACAGGCATTTGCTACTTTAATAACATGTTCAAGTTTCCGTGGCTGTTCTTCCACTTTTGCAGCCAAAAACAATGCCGTGGGAGACATTATCTGAAGAAGAAAAACATGTGTGTTTTTTAACTTCTTACAAGCAGAACTTGAATTTTTATGAAGCCTAAACTAGCACAGAAAAGGTTTAAGAAGTTGAATTTGTGGCTTTTTTTTCTGTTTTGAAGTCATGCAGGGCAACAAAATATAACTAGTCATGTTTTATTTTGTAACTGATGCAATCCTCTCAGCAGCACAGAGGAGTAGCATAATGTTAAATTATATTTGTGAGTAAGATGTCTGAGGTCAAACTAATTCTAGTTCAACATAAAAAAAAATATTTTGGCCCAGAAGACTTAGTCACAGTAGAACAGGCTGTTTCAAGTTAAATATATTTTGTGAGAAAGTTCATCCAATTTCTTGCACAGAGMGAGTCACTACACCATCTTTTCAGTAAAACAGCTGATCACAAGTTCTGCTAGCATTTGATTCTCCTAAGAGTGTGAAACTTTGCAGAGAACTTTAATAAAAACAACCTGTTAGATAAACATAGGTTCTATAAGTAAAAGAAACTTTATATATACATATATATTCTTAGAAACTTTACTATGTGCCCAGCAGTGCCTAGAGAACAAAGCACAAGGATCCATAAAACACCAGTTACATCAAATGTTAGTAAAGACTACACATTTCATTTAAAGATGAAAAYCTATATAGAACTCTAGGTGTCACAAGCTGGCAGCAAAACACCATTGGCAGTTCAGTATCACCTAAGAGTTAGCTTTGAAGCAGAATTTTGATGCCTCTTGTCAGCTAGAATGATTGACATGTGCAGACACAACACAGGAAACCACAATTCACTGAAGAATGAGATCCTCTTGCAAAAGCTGCCCATATCAACCAGGAATTAAAATGGTACTAGAAATCATGTAGACATAAGCTGATTAAAATGGTTAAAATTATGTCAGTATAAAGCATTTATTCAGAGACTGAAATAGCTGCTTGGTGAATATTTAATTAATGCATGGTGCAAGTAGTGCAGGTATTGGATTTCTCATTCAATGCCCAAATAGAACTAGACTAAAGAGGAGGCACAGGCTCCCTAAAGTCAGGTTTACCTTTTTTTTTGTCAGTAAGGAGCCCTTTTTTATGCCAGAATGAAACATTTGGTATAAAAGTTCGCAGTATATGCCAAACTGCAAAAAAAACTAATTGGAATGAAACATTTAAGGAATTAAATTTCAGAAGCTTTCAAATGTACTGAGGGAGTGCTTTTTGCATCCTTAAATCACTTTGAAATGTCTGCTTGGATCTTAAGTAAAACTTTAACGTTGGGAGACTTGAAAACTGACRCCCTGGGAAGGTGATACCCTTTTGATGAGTAGAAGTGTGCCATGAGAAATCTCACAAAAATCTCAATCTAAAAAAACCAACCACCCAAAACAAGTCACAGGGAGCAAATTCTTTTACAAGGAAGACAAAACCTCCTGTTTTCTTTTTAAGAAGCTTGTAACCTAAGCCTGATGAACTAATGAAATACAAGCCCCAAGTGAGGTGYTGCTGAACAAGGCTATATTAGCACTGTCATTTAAGACTTCTGATGATTCTGTAGAAATTCCTATCCCTATTTGCCTGAAGTAATGATAGGAAATTCTGGAAGGAATTTCCTTTGCCAGRGACTTGTCTCACACTGGGAGATAAAACTTTAAACAGTAAATGTCATGAAAAAACTTTCTGGAGTTCAGAAAGTGAGAGATTCCACAGCTCYGAAGAGGCAGAAAACACCAAAGATGTCAGGCAGCACACACATGTATAACCAACACATACATCATATAAAGGTATTTTACAGAACTCAATTTCTAGCACAGCCATGGTTGGAAACATTTCCATTTCACAGAGGCATTCTTTGAACCAAGACACCAATGATTGCACAATTAAATCATCAGCAAATTCTCACTCACTATTACTCTGTGTCTGASTGCACCAAAATTCTTTTCAATAAAGCACCATCACGCTATTTTCAGGATATTTTCTGATTTACTGAAACACATCAGATCTGGCCAGGAAGTCTCCACACAATTCCTGATCTCCAAGACCATACATAAAACACAGCTCCGGAGGCTGATTAAGTCAAACTGATTAACTGTCATTTAACTCTGGCTCATCAGAAATCTATGTACAGCGCAATTAACTATTTCCTTCAAAAAGAAGTGTTGGCTTCTGGCCAAAGAATTTCAGGTCTTTGTCTTATCTAGGACAAAGGGTTCTCAATCCCAGTTTAGAATAGGTCAATATTTTTAGCTCCCTTGGTATCGATTCAGAAAAATAGACATCCTAGTAAAATTCCAGACTTGGCACACATGTAGTCTTCAGTGAACATGACACACCCTGCTAAGTGTATAACTGGCAAAGTTACTCAAATGCTTTCATTCATTTCCAATTACCAAAAATGGCAAGAAACCCAAGCAAAGTAGAACAAAAAAGAAAAATTAAAGAAACATACTTGACAAAGCAGTAAACTYCCCATATATAAATATCTTAATTTGATATAAACTAAAATAACTTAGAGTAATTATATACCATGCACCCAAAATAGTCTTTAAGACTTTGAGAAATCTTCAGAACACATGTGATTTATGAAATTAACTCCCACTTTATTACTAGCTGGGAAATTTGGAAACCAAGTACTACAGAAATAGGAAAAAAAAACCCCAAACCTAAGAGTCTTGTTACCACAAGCCAACAGCCTTACACAGCAAGTTTCAYTGGGAAATGTGGTACAAGTCTTCTTACACTTAAAAAGTACAAGCCATTGTAAACACCAAGACATTCAGAAAAATCTCAGAATACATATGCAGCATGTATGTAGTTTTCTGAGATGTCCCTCTCTCTTTTGTTGACAATATTAGTATGTTTTTAGCTTTGATACAGYTTTGCTTGAGACATTAAGTGCTTGCAGTATATGAGAGGCATTTCAAGTTTGAACACAAAGAGCTGTGAGGATTTTTTGTATTATAACCAGGAGCTCACATTGCTTAAAAGCAAATATGTTAAATTGCTASATTAAAACCAGAACTGAAGTATCCAAAACAGCCTCACTAGAGCTTGAAGCGTATTATGAAAGTTTWAAGAACTTTGCAAAACTGCAAATTCAACTGTTTAGTAATGTGATTTGGACAAGGAACAAGGAAGGGAATGCAGAAGGACTGGAAACAAAATACCCTCCACTCAACTCGCCTACCTTGCACTTGAAGGAAAAAAAATCCTCATGCAGCCTTCTTTAGGCTCTTCACTGAGTTCCACCACATGTCACAAAACCCCCTTGACATCATCAAGTCTATTTTTGACTGGTTGTTTGGTATTCCACATGGCATTTCTAAGGATTATATTTAAAAACTACAGCTACCMTTTGGATGCCTTACCCCTCATTTCCAGTCGTGGGAAGGGTTTTTCCCCTTTCTGTTCTTCAAATCACAGTGCACCGAAGAATAAGCACCCAAAAGAACTGTTTGCAGTAGAACAGTGTGACACACCAAGTATTTACAGAAGAATTTTAGTTTTGAAGGTATTTTAAAGTATAATAGTGAGGCTAGTACTGCCTATAAAAAAGCAGCAGGCTCCCTCCTCATCCCARTATTAGCACAGACTAACTTTATACTCAGCAACCCAAAGTTCCTATGCCCTGGTCAGCAACACAGAAAGAATAATTTGCTCTGAGGAGAGCCACAGCAGCTCCTGTCATTTGCACAGACAGTGAAATTAGTAGTCAGGGCATCTAAGTCTGCTTCCCAGAATTGGTAAAGCAAGTTTCCATCTTCCCTGGGGCACAGCAACATTGCAAGGACTTCACCTGCCTTGACTGCAACAGCAAAACCTCAGTGCTTTCTTCTTTGCACCTAAATGTATGTATTCTGTACGTAATTCAGAGCAACTCGTAAGTGACTTGCTAGCTCACAGGAACTTCACAAAAAGGGAGTATTTGCCTACTAGAGCACTATATGTAATACATTCCCAATGAAGACTACATTAATTGGTACATGCCACCTCTGTGGTCCTGCAGACTGAAGATACTGCTGGAAATTCTGTTCCTTATTCACAGATGACTCAAACTCCTGAAAAACTGTTTAGCAGTAATTTATACTGAAGAAAAAAAAAAAAAGACAACATCTACTCAGCAACTGAGCTTCCACCAGAAGCCCTGTTGATTAACAAGTGCGTGCACGGGACATATATGACATAGATGTATATTTGTATAACATGGCAGTTATGCCTGATGATAAATGTACATGTGCTTATTACCAGACTAAAAAGATTAATGTACCAATGAAAGAGGACAACATAGGCCACATTTTTTCAGCTGAAGATCATAAGGCATTTTGACTAATGGCCATCTAATTTTCTAGCCCCAGCCTTCTCATTTCTTCCTGCCATGGATAAACAGCACACAACAAAGAAGTATTAGAGATATATTGCATATACTGTAGGATAGTTTATCTAGGTCTTAGCTTTGAGTCTGGCAGTACCTTACTATTCATTTCTAGGATTACTTTCTTCTTGCAGTGATGTATAGTGTTACATTTTTTAGCTTGCCAAGTACTCTTGAGATTTGTTATTAAGAATTTATTAGAGTTGTTGGCTTTAGCTTCYTCTACATAGAACCTAATGGATGGTTTGGGAGTATTTTAAAAGTGATTTCATTCACTGAGACCACCCTCTTTACCCCACAGGAATGTGACTAAGAAAATGCTCTTGCCCATGAGCACACACAGCCACTTTCTGGCCTTACACTCATTAAGAATTACAAAAAGKAACTCAGCAAGAATCAGTATTACTGAGGGATAACCTGCAGTGCACTTGCCTTTAACTTTGAACACTATTACCTGAGAATTAATTAAACTGTACACTTCCCTCCTCATAATAGTTGCAGTTTCCATGGCAGTCTGCCCTTRCACAGCTTACTTGCGAATTTTAAGATTCATGAATTTAAGTAATAGTTTTCATAAAAAGTGCACTATACATTAAAATACTACTGTGCTGCCAGTTCCAGGTGACTGTCATTTACCAGTACCCAGTGAAAACCCAAACAGAGCAGCTAAAGCTTCTTGCTGCTTAAATCTAGCCTAGATTACCAGACGACAGCACAAACAGTATCCAGCAGGTGATATAACAGGTATGTGGGTCTATATATAAATACAGCAGCTCTACACTGAGCCATCTCTGCATTCCAAGCAGCTCTGCCTACTTTATCAAGCCCACAAACCATCCACAGTCCCAGAAAACTTTGGATGCCTCCTGAGCTCCTCTTCTTCCTGCTACATGGGCAGAAGAGTAGAAATAGGGGAGTAAGAGGAACCTGTGTGGATGAACACTGCAGTTTTGGTAAGAAGCCGCTGGAAGTTTATCTCAGATTTTGCACAAAAAATAATTAAATACACTTCTGAAATGTACTACAAACAAATAGGTATTTCCAGCTAAATGGGTATCAATAGGACGCCCATTTGCTCAGTCAACAATAATAAAYTCATGACAGAAAGAAGAGTTGGCTCTCCCTGTACCCCACTGTGTACCTGCCCCAATTGCAGGCAGTGTAAGGTTTGCAAGATTCTACTCCTTGGCTGATCAAGGTCTGCTTTGGCCTAGACCTAACACCTGTCACAGCCTCAATCTGTTTATTTTGTCACTAAAAGATCTAAGAAAACTCAACCTTTRGTAACATACCACCATCACTATTAACTATTCTGTCTTAAAACAAACAAACCCCAAGAACATTTTGACTATTATATTATTATTTTTCCAGCTATTGAGTCCAGTACTGGACATAAAAAAAGAATCTGACATTATCCAAGTTGGTATCTCCAGTTCCATACCTGTTACTACATCCCTACTACAGGGAGCATTTTTACTGAAAAAATCTGTTTTTATAACACTGTATGTTCAGAGTCAACATGATCAGTTCATTAGGCAAAACAAGATTTACCTCATCACAAACAATTTCGTCTCATATGACTTATCACACTACTTAAGACTAGAGTAGCTAAAAGAATTGAGACTGCTTCAGGAACAGCTATATTATCCATATGGATGCACACATAACCACGTTATCACTTTCAGACACACCATGCCAGAGTTCACCACGAAAAATGTGTGTTCCTACACATTAGCCTTTCAAACTGCAGCACATAAGCACCAGCCACATTTGAAACATTTATATGTATTCTTCACACTTCTGAAATATGCTTGCTGATGGTGCCTATTTATTTATTTCAATAGCAGAAGATAAAATCTAATTGCCATAGTTAAGGTAATCCAAAGCTGAAAACAAGCATCATTACTGCTTCTAAACCACTGATAAGAAGATAGAATTCCTAAAAACAAATCTCACTTCACACTTCTGCATGAAACACTTCTCAGTCAGAAYTGCCAAATTATGGGCATATTATTACCACACATAAAAATCATACTTACATTTCGATTAAATTTTGTGAAGGAATGATGCATATAAAACCTGTGCATGTAAACAATTGCGGTATTTATCGTAAGCTGAGATCTGGAAGATTAAATGAAGGAAACACTACATATTAAGAAAATTGTCTACAAGAACGGAAAGCAATGTGCTTTCCACATCAATCACTGCTCTCAACATCCTGTCTTCAGCTGAAAATGGATTAGGGACGTGGCACTTCAGAACTTAACCGATATTAACACATCCTTAACTGATATTAACACATATCTTTCCCATCTGTTTCGCAGACCATGTGGATATTCCTACGCCCGGCTCTCCGGTCACCCACGAATGAAAACTCCCCAATGGGCGACGTACACCGAAACACTCTCTCAAGTGCTTTTGTTTCGTTCCAATTCARCTATTTCAGTAGGGGATTCGATATGGCCTTGCTCTATTTTTTTCCCCTTCTAAAATCTTATTCAAGAACGGCTAAGGAGGGAGTTGGCCGTTTCAGGGAAAATGGGTCTGCAGGCAACTGGGATTTACTTTCTCAGTGCCCCAGCCCGCAGCTCCGGGCACAAGCGTGGCTGAAAGGGCAGGTGGGAAGCCGAGTCCCTCACCCGCCGACAAAGAGCGCGGCGCGGGGGCTTCGCCAGGCTCCTCCTCCCATTCTGTGCCTCCAGGCCACGGCTCCATCCCGCGGGAGCGCCGGCCGGGGCTGCGGAGGAGCGGCAACGGTCCCGGGAAGGGTTCCCACACGGGATAAAAGGTCTCCAGCCGCCCCTCCACACGCGGTCCCCGCCGCCCTCATGCCCGTCCCGCCCGGCCCCGCCGGCCCCGCTCGGATACACGTTGAGGCGCTGGCCCATGTCTTGGATGAGGTTGGCCGCCTGCTGCCGGTACGAGAGCTCCTTGTCGGCCTCCACGCCGCAGCGCCGCGAGGGCGTGTTCTCCAGCTGCTCGCGGCTGAAGAACCAGCGCGACGCGGCCGAGGAGCCGCCGCCGCCCCGCGCCGCGGACCCGGCGGAACCCGCGCCCGCCGCCGCCATGACACCTCCTCCTCCTCCTCCTCCGGCGCCTCCTCCCGCCGCCTCCATCGCGGCTCTCGCGAGAGCTCCCGCGCCCGCGCGCGCCCTCCGCCATAGAGTCTCGCGGCGGGGCGGCCGCGCGCAGGGCGGGGTCACGTGGGCTGCAGGGGCTGAGGGAGCGCGCGAGGGCCGCGGGATCGGGATCGGGATCGGGATCGGGATCGGGATCGGGATCGGGATCGGGATCGGGATCGGGATCGTGAGGGGTTGGGATCGCGGAGGCTGGAAAAGGATCCTTCAGATCATCCAGGCCAGCCGTCAACCACTGTAACCTCTATAAATCACTGAATCCATCGCCCAGCTCCCCTTGAACACCTCCAGGTATGGTGACTCCACCGCCTCCCTGGGAAACCTATCCCAATGCCTGACCGTCCTATTAAGTGGGTTTGTATTTCATATGATGCTTCGAACATCTTCTCGGTCTGGATAGCGGTATGCCCCAACAATAAAATGAAAGGTTAAAAAAAATGTTAAAACCAGAAACCAGGATGCATCTTTTAATGTAAGTAATCTCAGAACAGCTTGGAGGAGAGAATGTGGTAAAGGAGAAAAGAAGGAAAGAATAAGGATGCACAACGACTTCCTAGGAAATTCCTGTCTGCTGCCAATATCAGCGTGTAGACACTTGAGAAATGCATAGGACAATGATGGACTTTGTATCATTGCAGATTAGCAGCTCCTGCAGGTCAGTGATTCTCCTGCAGCTTGCGGGTTGTTCTCACTGGGCATTCCCTATTCAGTCGTGGATTTTCAGCAGTGGTTTATGGATTCAGGGTTCAAAGGGTACRAAAAGGTATTTAAAGTTCTGATCATCATGCATGAAAATGAGAGCTTCAAGGGTTCTTCCCATGTTTAGTATATGCCATTAGCACTCTGTGGTGGTTTCGCTCACCTGAAGTTCCATCACAATGTGCTCTTTTACAACTTCAGTGCCAGTTTTATACAAGCAGTTGTAATTTTTTAACTAGACCCAACTAGAATACTGATGCAATGTACAGATGTGTAATGCTGCACAGACGAATTACTTGCCTGATCTTCCCAAATCCACACATCTTTTAAGATCTTGCATATGCAGACAAAATTTAACCACAAAGACKTGTAATTAGGAGCTGATCTTTGACTTCCTATTTTTGTGTCTGTAACAATTGAGGTACAAATGTTTTACCTCATTGTTTAAATCAYCATGTAAAGCACATGGAGTTTGGGTGCTCAATTTATATTTTTTATTCCTGCAGTAATTGGTGGAGGAGTATTAAGAATGTTGTCATCTGACTGCAATTCTAATTTTACATTAGCTTTGTTAATGAAATGAAAAGGAAAATGGAGGTAAGATTATATATATATCCCTGTCTTAAAAAACATAACATATCAAGAATAAGTAGAATATCATTAAATAATGACAGTGCATAATGAATATGATTTATGCAGGGTATGCACGTTAATTAACTCCCATGCAGAGTGCTGCAGTCACCCATTTAGTCACAGGTTAAAGTAATTAAATACTGTTCTTGCTATTGGAGAGGTTCCAGACCTTGGTCCCCAAAGATGTGACATTGCATTTTCACTAACTTAGCTGGTTTCATTCATAAAAAATTGAAAATTAATCCARTTAAAATGTATTGGAGGAATCACAATGTGTTTTCCTTTTAAATCCATCTGTGAGATTAATGTATGCTGAAGGGAAATACTATATGAGAATGAAGTTGCCTTTCAACTTTGAAATTAAATTGAAACAATCTGGTAGAAAAATTGTATACACTCAAAACTCAGTGCTTTCATGTGGATAGTTAAATGAAAAAAGTCAACAAAAGTGAACCTGAGGACAATAAATATTGTTAAAGCTATTTCCTGGGTCTTCTTTTCCTCTTACATAAAAATTTTATAACATAAGCCTGAGAGCCGCTGACTCCATCAGCTCCAACAACTGCACAAAGCACTTTATTTGGGGTGGGTTTGACACTGTAAAGAAGGACAAAGCTTTCTTTGTAGTCCAACGGAGGCTGGGATCAGAAGAAACTGCTGGTGTTCAGCATCCTTCAGGTTCAGTCTGTGACAGCGATGGCCAGAGCTGAAAACAACTTCTGTCTGATACTGTTTGCCTGGAATGTTCCAAGACTGAGCAGAAGAATGGTGACATCACACGTAACCAGCAAATGTTCCCTTGAGAACAAAGACTAAGTGCTGATCTGCATTTTTCTGACTGGTACAAAATCCTCTCGGGAGGAGGATGCCTGTGCACTCACTGGATAATCAGGAAAGCCTGTTTCAATCAAAAGTGTACAAATCAAACCATCTTTCCATTCCTACAGCAAGACTCAAACTAGATAGAGCATTAGCACTTCAGCATTTAACATATCCAGCCTTACTTTTAGGAAATATTTTTTAGGGAATAGAACATTAACCCGTGCAGTTGCTAAACACTGGTATTTGTTTTGACAGTGACAATGACATACCAAGTATTACCCACATAAATACATTATTTCTGCACCTACAACCATATTGTTCAAATTGTTTCTAATGAATAAGTTCCCAGTGGTGTAGGTGGCAGCTAAAATGTAAAGTCCCCACACAGACCTTTTCCATCCTATCACAACATTGACAAAGCATGAGTGCACCTGCAGTGCTGAGCTGAGTGTGGTGTGCTGTATCTTCCAGYAGTGCCATAAAGGCATCAACAAAGTTCTATTTTAATTCTGTTTCAAATTCTGTTTGTCCATCATAACAAATTTAGAAATGCAGTGGGTATATAATTTTCTCAGCTCCTTTCTTCCTGAGAAACAAGTCATAATAGCATGGCATTGATTATACTTCACAGATTCTTATTGCAACTGCAGAAGAGGAAATCACTGCTTTATTATTAAATCAGAGATTTCAGAATTGTTTAAAGCCAGCCAAGATCCACGGGCAATACCTGTGCATATTTATTTCCAGTACCCTTGTTTTTGTTTTGGAAATAACAGGAGACTKCCAGATACTTGTGAATTTTATTTTTCATGTGTACAATTGCAGGTGCCAACAGAAGTAACCCTAAGGATTCAGCAATATTTCTGAAGTTGAGCCTCTTTAGTACTCCAAAATTATTCAAATTGTTTTCTGCTAAGACCCAGAAATTCCAGAGCATTTCCAGCCTTGAGTTTATCCTGTAAAAACAAAACACACATATATGTTTAWGCTTAACTCATATTTAACTCTCCCAGTCTTTGCAGAAAGCAAGAGTACTACACTGATTTTTCAGTGTTTTATCTCATGTCTCAAGCCAGAGACTTAAAAAGGAAGGAAAACTCCCTCAAATGTAAAAATCATACCTTCTGTTTATGGTTAAAATCGTCCATGGAATCAATTAATTTTCCAGGTTCCAGTTCCCCAAGTGGAAAAGGGTAATCTGTCCCCAAAATAACTTTGTCCTGGTAATAACGAAAAAAAAAAATTGTCCACCCAATTCAGAAAATATGCTTGGATCTGCAGTCCTGAATTTGAAATTTTTGGCTAGATACACCCACACAAATTTAAAATTATCTATGAGTAAGAAGAACGTGTAATAAGAAATACAAAACAATAAAAACTATCTTCTCTGTGATACTTTCAAGGATGTAATAATGGCAACGGGTACTACTGAAAACATGATACTGTGTAGAACTACTACAAACAGATTTTTAAAAAGTATTTTATTTAATTTAACTGGTATTCAGCTTCAGATAAGAAAACCTATATCTCACGTACAAAATTTCATGTATTTCTGGAAGTCTTTTAAATGTCATTGTCTTTGAGTGGGATATTAACTGTGGGTTTGAAATATGTGCCTGAAAATATGAGTGACAGGATATGAATTGTTTTTGAAAGTAAGTCAGTGCAAAAAAAAAATACAATAAAAATCTGTGGGCAACATCCCTGTTATCAGAGATGAAAAGAAATAGGCAGATCCTCAATAAGTCCACATAGTTACAGGCTCATTTTCTCTCTGGAATGATATTTTCCCATTTTCTCTGCCTTGGAGAGTGCATACTGCCAACTTTCTTGATTTTATCAAAAGTCTGTTTTCCTTTAGGCTTCATCTCCTGCAGACAGGAGTATTTGAAAAATCAGAATTTTCATTAAAAACGTTTGGTTTAAAATGTCTAATGGATTTAAAGTTATAATGATGGATTTTAGACACTTGCTATAATGTTTGAACTCTGTTGCCAGAGTTCAATACTGAAATAAAGTGAAGAAAACATCATTCAGTTATTTTCTGARATGGCTTTTCTTATTGTCAAATCCTTTTCAAAAAAAAATTTAATCTCCACTAGATGTCACCCAAAAGTCTCTGAAAGAACCTGCACCAACCTTTACCCAAAATCTAAGCAGAAGAGACAYATTCTATTGTTCTGTCCTATATTGTTGTGTTCTAATTTATTATAGAAAACTTRCCATAAGATTAGCATAGAAGAATTTATACCCTCTGTCTAATAAATCCAGTTCTGAGCACAGATTAAACAAAATAGATTTGSATGGGTGCACTTTTAAACAGCTAAATATGTTCTTTTATTTCTAATCAATTAAATACCAAGATGTTTTATTCAGGTWGGAAAAACAAATGTGATGTGTATCATGATAAAAAAAAAACCCAACCCAAAACCAGACCAGKTTTATATGAGAAAGTGGATTTCCAAGTAAAAGAGAAAGAAACATAGGATTTGCCCCTCTGTTTACTAGGGAAGGTCAGGTAAGACAGGAACATTTGTACATCTTTATTTACATCTCCTATATACTAAACCAGAAAGAAATCTCACACCCTCACTGGAATTATATGTAGATCTGTTTTTCTTTCCCTCTATATGAAAGTATTTCACCGCTAATCATGGGATCTATTCATTAGTATTAAATTAGGAGCTGTAAATCAGTAAGAAAAATTTAGAAGCAGCATTCTTGCTGTGCTACCAGTGATCTTAGGCTGTTCATTTGTACTCTTTGARCTTCAGTTTTGTACCCATCTATAAAATGGGGTTGCAATTCCTGTGTTTAGCAACCAGCTTCAGAGAAGTGCTGTGAAGCCTCTGCGATGAATAATGCTCCTGCCATAAGGGATGCACTGTTATGTTATTCCAAACTGTATTAACAAAGTCAGTTTTCCCTGGAAGACTTAGAGGTCAATTCCTTAATTAGCACATCTCTCCTATTAGCAAGATTTTTTAACATGGGGCTAATGACTAACCTCAGTGGACCTTGCTACTGAGCACAACTTTTTTGTAATAGGAACCCAAATCTGAAAATGAATCTTGTGGACCTTAAAGCATGAGTTCATCCTCTTACATAAGGAAAAATTGTATTTGCCTTGAATCTCACCTTGTTTCCTGCACTTGRGATACACCTCAAAAAAAGTCCAGAATGCTTTAGCCAGTTCAGCTCCAACATCTGGCCAGAGAATGCTTTACCTTTGGGTGAAGGCTCTTGAGGAATCACAATGGGGAAGTTTTTGCAGAGATACACTGAACCATTTAATCCCATGTCAACCCAGTTCTTCACTTTTTGTAGAAAGCAATGTTAGGGATTTTGTATTTATATGTATTCACCTCATGCTACCTCATCACAGGAGGAGCAAAGGACTGCAGCCTTATTCTTGCTCAGAAATGTGTATTTCTRCTTCCATCCCCAATTAACCTGCACCCCAAACTAAAAAGGGATGAATTAAAATGGACACAACACATCACGGCTGTCAGTGGATTTTAATATTGATCAGCTCAAGGCCAGCACGCTCCACCCTGTGCCAGGCAGGGGCTGTTCCCCAGGGACCCACAGCCATGCCCAAGCACATCTTCACACACACTGATGCCCTTCCTGCACAGCTCGGAGCTGYTCTCTGGAGAGCTGGCCTATTTCAAACCTCCAGCTCACAAAGTWACAGTGTCATCCTCCAGGCTCCATCACATTGTTTTCAGCCCAGCAATTATTAATCTTATGTGTGTTACTCASCTAACACATGACTGCACTGAAAGCATTGAGRTAYTTGGCATTTCTTTAAACATTTGACTCATGGAAGGGTGTTATGTGAGAATGTCAACTTCCCTTACAAAAAGAGAGAACTTTTTAATCTTCATGGTTATAAAGTGAAGTTTGAAATTGTGATGTGAATGTTTTTGTTTTCAAGGATAAGATGCCTTAGGCTATGGAAAAAAGAAAGAAAGTTCTCCTGAGTCTTAAAAGCATTCATGTTTTTGGTGTCTGAGTCATGACTTCTCAGCACTGGGATTCCACCTGGTATACTGTTTGAGCTCAAAATACTCAGAGGAGAGTTAAAGAAGACACTAACATCCTCTGTACTATGCTGGACAAATTTAATGTGTTAATACTCTTAATGTTAAACRTCTTTTGACARAATAAATAAGACACTAGAGAAGCTAATAGTGGCTTCTGGATTAWCAAATTACAGTCCATAATCTCTCCTCAAAGAACTAAATTCGAGTTGCAATGACTAATCATGACTAAGGACCCGGGTCAATGTGTATCTTCTTAGGGTGAAAGACAGAGTAATTAAAGTGTGGTGCAAAGACTGCAGCTTTCCCACAACAACAGTAATTTAGAACAGCCTTGAGATGCAAAGCAGAAGTGCCTTGAGACTTGTGTGCTACACAATTTCAAACAGAAAARAAGTTCAGTTCTTCAGCAATGGATTCACCATCCTGTTTTTCTTCCCCTCTTGCTTTGCTCTTGTCATCTACAGTTCAGTTTAGCACATTCAGATCACAAAGAGAATCTGTGGTCTCAGCCACGCTGAGTCACACAGCTGCTAATTTACCARGGTCTTTCTAACATTGGCAAAACATGTTTCCCAATATTTTAAAATGGGTAGAAAGAAACAAGTGGGTGATCTTTTCTCCTTGCACAGGCAATTTAAAATTCAAGAGCTATACTCATCCTTTTGTACTAGAACTGCATGTACAACAAAAATATACTTGGCATGAGCATGGTCTGGAGTTGGGGAGATTTCTCAGAAAAGGAGGTAACAGAGGCAAGTGTTGAACTGAAATGTCCATAAGCCTTTGGGTGTCTTGTAAATGGATGTGTGCATCACACCCGGTAAAACTTTAAAATATATTGTAGAAACCACCTTGAAGCACTTGCTTACTCTAAGCTACAGGTAGATTCAAAAGATAATGCACAGTAAAAACTCATGGCTGTTGACCATGATATATTTACTGTTTAGAGGCTGGTAACAGAAATTTGAAAAAATCAGTGTTGGGCTGAAAAAATCAGTCCTAGGATTTTATGAGTAACCCATGTGATAGCTGAAAGTTCATCCCTGGCACAGAGACGGTAAATACCCACTGATGTTATAAGAATTTCCACTTGAGTTAATACCCACTGATGTTATAAGAATTTCCACTACTATCAGCTTATTAGCAGGTCATTTGTAAGTGAATTGACCTGGGCGTTATCTTACTTGTTTCTAATGGAATTAGGCTGCATGGCAGTTTCTTTGCACATTTTATGGGGCTCCTTCCATAAACCTGTTTTTGGTTCAAGGTGGGTTTAAGAGAAAAGATATTCTGTCTCCACTCCTTAGAAATGCAGTGTTACTCTATTGTACATATATATACATACTACACGAAAGTTTCTATACTATTGTTTCAACCTGTATTTGTGCTGTCACATGGTTGAATTTTCCATGACTCTTCAAATGCAAAGTTTTCCTAAAAGGTACAAATCCTGCAGGGGAACTTCAGGCAGAAGTTCAGTCTCAAAGCTACACATTTTCTTTGCAGCACAAACTGAAAACCCACAGATTTTAAAGTGTGATACTCAGAGTACCACAATAATGAAAGCAATAGTGCTGCATTGTTACTCTTGTCTGGCCTAGGCAAGTCACTTCTGTATMAGTTCTACTGCAGATTTATTGCAGTAACCTGTTCAAAGTATTAGATATAAAAATGGKAAATCAACAGGTTCTTTTCTGTAGAAAAAAAACCAATCAGCTGAGTGGTGTTTGTGAACTTTGATCATGAAAGAGGCCCTGATGACAACAACAGCCCTATACCATGTGAGCCTAGAAATTGATGTACAGGAAACAGGACTGCAATTGTTGAGACAAGAAAATCCCTGTCAGAGCTTGCATTTCTGATGTGGTAGATGTCTGGCTCYGGCTGCAGACACTCCATGAGTTCCAGAGATCAAGACAGGTCTCTTACTGATTTGTAGTGATCCATYGGAAGCTGGCATGAGTGATGCAATCTTCAATCCCTTCCTGAGCATTTACTAAGGAGAAGAGATTATTTGAATGTTTTGGGATTTTTCTGTCTTGTACTGCACCTTATTTAAACAGGTGGCTAAACAACAAAGATTTCTTTATGAATAACAAAAGTATTTTTGCAAACCTAAAATGTTTARTGGTCTCTCTGAGGTCTCAAAAGAGTTTTCCTTATTATTGATAATTTTTCTGTATGTAACTTCTCAAAGGTGAAATACAATTTTTTTTCTTCAAGCATGTACTTGAATTGGAAAATTAAGCCATTTAAAACCAAGACTCTAAACTGAAGCATCTTTGCTTGAAGTCCCATCCTGAACAAGCTTACAGAAGGAGCTAGCCTCATGAAATCAAGGTTGATAGTGCATGACTTCCTGGATTAAACCCACCATTTCAATAAATCCATAYAGTAAAAGCATTATCAACATGGCAGAAGCCCATCAGTTTATTCCAATGGGTGAAGATGTTGTCTTTTTCCTTTTTYCTTCTTCTYCTTTWGCTGTTTCATAGAATATTAAATGAAGAATGACTCACCCACTTCTGGAAGCATTAAACTCACCTCTCCTATTACACTTGTTAGCAGCCTTAGTGCTCCACGATCGTGGACAAGAGAGTCTGTGTAAAATGAGCCAAGGTATTTTCTTGGATCCACCTTATTATCCATGGCACACAAATCAGGGCGCACATTGAACCCATGGGAGATTCGCCCCACTGTGTATGGAAAAGCTCCACCTGCAAGAAGAAATTTTTACTAACAGCAGCTAAAAGAATGAGGGAAAAGAGCCACATTATCACCAAAGATCCGTAAGTTTTACTATCAGCTCTTAAGAAAGTGCTCTGCACCAGCAATTTTTTATTCCTTTACCCTCATTAGCTTMTTTGTCTATTTTTTTGACCTCTTCACTACTGTGATGCTCAAATTCCTCCTGCTGCTTCCTCGCCCCTTTCCTCAAACCACCTGCTGCCTCAYCTTCCTCCTTGTTTCCCTGAAAGGCTTTTGTAACAGTTCAAACTCTGCAGGCTAGAGAGTGTTCATAAAAGCAGCTGATCTGTCAGGCTGTCTTCTTTGGGGCAATAGTGCTCAGCTGGTGGCAGGCTTCATGTGGTAACCCCATTAGCTGGGATGCCAGAAAATACACCTGTACCATGCTCAGCCAAAGAACAGGAGTTTCACATGGTGCACACTACTCACCTCCATGTGCAAAGCAGACTTTCAGCTTAGGGAATTTTTCAAAAATTCCTCCCATAATCATGGAGCAAATGGCCATGGTTGTTTCTGTTGGCATGCCTATGAAGAAAATACAGCTTGATTGTATAAGAGCTTTACTTTTAAAACTTTTTACTTGATTTTTAAATGTTATTTTAATTTTCTTCTCTTAGCCTTGAGCCTATTGAAAAAGTAACAGTTGAGGGGCAGCTGCCAAAGGTGATGCATTATTTCTCCTGAAGGGCAGAGTTGAACTTAATTAACTGAAATGAAGACAGAGGCCTGGAAGTGGAGGTCTTCTGACTTTTAAGTCTGGTTTTTACTCTATACCATTAGGACAGATGACAGGCAGGTTGGGCATGTCCTGAAATACCCAGTACAGGCCTGATTCCCATCATCCTTGCTCAAAGCCAARCCTGCAATAGGCCAGGGTGTCTTCTTACCTGCACTTGTGGACTTCWTTTGTGGGGAAACGAACAGATATATTGGTGGATATTCCAGCACAGATTTGGGCTTTAGTTATGACATGATGCCAGTTCCTACAGTTAGAACTAACCTGTCTCCCTCTCTGCTGCTGGCTGAGTTGGATGCCCAGTGTTARGACCAGAACAGGAATTTAGGTTCCTACAGCAGGCTTCTGAGCACACTCAGTGTGTTTAGAATATCATGCCATTTCAAACACATAACTTCAGACATCCACCTTGAAATTAGGAAATGCATTCCCTTCATCTGTGGGGAAAACATCACCTCTCCAGTGCAAAAGTTTATTTTTATTAATATTTTACCACAGGCTCAGAGGCAAAGGCTTGTTAGGCTCAGTAGGAAAATATTTATACTTGGTTAAGTAAATGCAATAATTTTATTCTCTTCTTAAATCCGTGTTGTTGAGCCTGCTCTGATTAAGACTAATTGATAYTGTTTTAAGATAATGCACTGGTGACTGGGAAGATTTTCCTGAAAAATTGCAGAATGTTTATTATATGTATATTGTGTGTTTTTCAGAACTGGTGGCAGCGCAAAAACATGCAAAACAAATAAATGCAAAACAAAATATTTGAGGGGTAGAACCAGGTCTATACATTTCTGGGTAGCAGAATAACCCCGCTCCTCTTATTCAATGATATGATTTACCTATCAGGCTGAGGAAAAACAGATACTAGATAATATTGTGCATCTACGGAGAGCTTTCAAAGAATATGWTATTTCAGATACAGTTGATGTAAAGTTAGAATTATTTCCTCTCTGAGCAACCTGTTTCTAAGAAATAACCCAAGAAATTCTAGGAAGTAATGCTTAGTTTTGCTTACTCTTTCATTTATTCCTGTTATTTTTGAGGGGCCAATATCTAAGATGATTCACTTCTTCCTAGTTAGYTGCTCTTTGTACTTAGGACAAAACAGAATACTATATTCTGTTACTAGTCTGAATAATTTTAATTCTAATATTTAAAAGAGAAACCAAACAAGCTTAGGAACACATAAATGCTGAATTTACACAACAGACTTAATCATAATACCAGACTTATAAAGAAAGGTTTGACAGAAAAACAATGCAATTTTTCCCTATACTTGAGTTTTACTTGGCAACAATCTCCTGGGCATAATCCAGTTCATAAATCTAGGCTAAGAAAAGTAAATATACACTTACCTATTAGCCAGGGAAACCAATATTTGGCCATCCTCCCATCTATCTGCATGTCCCAGGGATGCACAAAGAGACAGCAATTTAATTTTTCAGCAGCCTGCAGCAAAAAAGGAAAAGTCTAAATTTTGACTAATCATCCCAAAGTGCATCTTASATCTTAGTCATGCTTTTAAATGACCTGCAAATCTGTACTGAGCAGTAGTACTAGTAATGAAAATAGGCCCAGAAGTAAGAACTATAAGCAATAGCTGGCTCTATTTACTCCTCTGGGCCACATCCCAAAATCCTCACTCAGTTTCACAGCTCTTTCTGTGACTACRGGACTGGAAACATAGATGGTAACAACTTTTTAGTAAGCCAAGTGTTTCTCAGAATAATGCAGTATAAAAACACTTTTCCAGCAGTGTTTTTCAGTCATCCTGTAGTATAAAACTCAGTTCAAGCAAACATTCTTTTGGTTTCATTACACATTCTCGTAATGTCTTAWGGAATCATTTTAGGATAGTTTTGCAGAAGTGTTCTAGCTGCATTCAGAGATTTTCACTGAGTTGCACTATATTTGTCACCTTTGGCCCTCTGCCTGACTTAAAAAAAAGTTAAAATTATTCCTAATCCTTTCTAGGATTTCAAAATCTGACTGTATTCTGATCAATAATCCATCTCTATGCAGTTCTGGWAATTTTTCCCAAACTACTGACATCTTTGGAAAGGAAAACAGAAGAACAGTGTTGGATGCTGATTCTGACTGTGTAATTTAACTGTGTGCTTAAAWTTAAATACACAGTCATCAGAGCCATTCATATGCTTAACCAGGATTTAACAGCTTCGTTTTGTCAGATGTATTTCTGGACATGCTCTTGTTGCTAAGGAGATTATCACACATTTGAAAAATTTGGGTTTATTTACCCATACATGCATAAATAAAAGCTGCAACTTTTGGATCAYGGAGAATAATTGCCATCTACATTTGTAAACTAAAAATAGCAATTCAATAAATGGCCTGGTAGTTTGACAAAGTTCATTATCCAATATGGCTCAATTTCACAATCTGTATTATCCAGAGATGTTTCTAAAAATGATAGAAGTTACTTSCTACATGTGTGAAACATAAGCTGAAGGATGTACAGTAAAAGAGAGAGATCCCAGAAAAAGAGAGGGATCTTAGTAGCGGAGACATGGATTTACTGGAGAGAGTCCAAAGAAGATGRAGGGACTGAGCATCTCTCCTCTAAGGAAATGCTGAGAGAACTGAGACTGGCCCCGAGAAGAGAAKGTTCTGTGGAGATCAGGGAACATCAGGTTGCCCAGAAAGACTGTGGAGTTTCCATCCTTGGAGATATTTAAAGCCCTCTGGGCAGGGTCCTGAAGATTCCTGCTTCAGTGTGGGTTGGTCCAAGTGGCCTCCAGAGGCCCCTGCCAACCTTGGCCATCTGTGATTCCATAAATGTGAGCACCTCCAAAAGCAGATGTTGGTATCTGAGTCTATATGGRCATAAAAACAAATAATCCAGGTGCTGCACCATCAGGGTTTTGGAATAAATTGAGTGTCTTGTAAAATGACCTCCATGAATCAATTCCAGGCTGACAGCTCAAATAGCTTGTGAAACACATACAGAATGTACATTGATTAAACCCCTGATCTAGACAAATGAACACTCTCATCTGGACCTCAGCCTATTGAAGAAATGCAATCTATAAATTCATTTGGTAATCAACACATTCAGTTTGGAACTTTTGGTCCTATTTACGTAGTTCTGTGTGGTACTTTGATACTATAGGTGTCTGATACCTATAGTATAGATTTACCTATACCTATATTGATTTACCAATTATTTCAATAGGATTGGATATACTAACTAACACAAATGCAAACAGGGCAGAAATGCTTTATTTGATATTGCACTTATCCTCACAAATCAAGAAGGCAGATCTACAGTGAGAATTCATATAATAAACCAAAATTTGTTATTCAGTATTATAAAATACGTTTCACAATGTTCATGTAGCATTATTGCCATTACATGCTGTAATGAGTTATCATTTACAATTAAAGCTSAGTCTCTCTGATCACTGAGCAGATTAGAAGGCTCAAATGATGACTGAATGTGCTCCAAGATATTTTTAGAAAGATTTCCATGTGACAGAATTCCCCCAAAGAAGGAAAAAAACAGCTACTCACAGCATAAATATTGTACAGCTCTGGGGCATTCAGGTCCCACTCGTTGACATGAGATCCTATCTGCACTCCAGGAAATCCAAGTTCCTTCACACAGCGATGCATTTCCTTCACAGCCAGGTCTGGAGCTTGCAGAGGTAACGTGCCCAGCCCCACAAACCTCTTGGGGTACTTTTTTACTGTAGCAGCTAAGTCATTATTTAATATCTGGGCGAGATCCAAAGTATCCTGAGGTTTGGCCTGGTAAGATATGAAGCAGAATAGTAAATTTAAATACCGGTCTCAAGTGTTATCATGTGTGGAAGGTATTGGATAAATGTCACTGCAAACAACTGATAGACAGGGATTGAACTCAAATTTGCTTTATAGTTCTGAATAGCTGGAAACCAGTAGGCTAAATTTTGCCTTGCTTTAAAACCTCTGGGTACAGTTCTGCTTCTTCTCTTGAATATTTTATCAATTGCTGCTGCTTTTGCTGCTCAGGGTGAGTGTAATAAAGCCCAGGGTGCTGATGCACATAAGTACCTGATCTTTTGTGTAAAGCAGTCCCCTGGTTTTGTTTATCCCCATGCAAAAACCTCAGTATATAATTTTTATACATAGCAGTGAATATTTACTTTCCTATTACTGGAGCTGAAAAAATAAAAATAAGAAATGTGAAATGCTGGAACATGAGAATTAYACAGAGAAAGCTTCAGCAAACTTCTCTAACATTTAGAAGGAGATAACAGCCATAATTCTAATAAGGAAAGTACAATATCCATACAATCAATCTCTGTTTTTTCACCCCCAATACATATTTAATAGAAATATTCCCTTAGATACTGGAACAAAATTTTAAAGTGATGTTACTAACAAGAAATTCTGACTATCAATTGTATGTCTTACATGTGGGCTTAACACAATGGTTCTTTATGCACATATCCATTTACATTTATCTATAAACATMTTGACCTGTACATATTATGCTAAACAGTCAAATTGAGAATGTATTTAGAACAACATTTTGCTAGGATTTATCTTAGCCTGTTTTTATTGCTTTGAAGCATTCAAGATTGCCATAGGGGGAACATAGTAACTTAAATTTGCTCCTGAATTTTAAGGTTCAAAGCATTCTARGTTAATGAGTCCCATGCCACATTTAAAACAGAGTGGGACAAGGCCACAAATACTCTTCTATGTGTTTTTTTTAATGAGAAAATACTGATTGGTATCTAACTTTCATGGAACCTACACATATATGTCTACCTGCTAACCATGGATTCATGTTGTATAATTTTTTTCTGTTTCCAGCTGCCCTCATATGGCCCCCAGAAAAAAAATCAATTGTTCGCTCATCCTTTCTCACTGTGTATACTCCAGAGTGGAGCTTTGCCAGGACATCCTGCAGACATCTTCTAATACCTGCCCTCCTTTCTTGCCTTTTGTTTACCACAGCAGAACAATTGTGACTATTTCAATCACCTAATTTATAAGAACACGCATTTGTATTTTACAAATGTTGCTACATRTGAATTCCAAAATATGTTAGTAGGAACCTACCCAGTAGCTGAACATTACAGGGACTGTGGACAGCACTTGGACGGTGACTCCTGAGTAAGAAAAAGCAAATATTAATGTTTYCTTTTTTGTTGTTTTTTTTAGATAAAATATTACACATAAGAAAATACTTTGGTTTGAGAGGCAGAATGCAAAAGCTTTAATGATAAGAAAGAGTAATTGAACAGTGACATAGATGAACTCTTTTATTTTTTTAAATTAAAGATCATTGCAATAGATCTTGTAGTTTATTGGTTTATTAGGATTTGGATGTTTTTGCTAAGTAGAAAGGAAAAAACCACTTCCATAYTCATAGTAGATTATTTGTGAAATTAGTTCTTTGATTTTAGAAGTATTTATTATCATTATTATTATTATACTATTTATTAGTATGCACATAGTACATACAATTGAAATAGCAATAGTAATTTAGCATTACTCTCACATGTATGAAAGAGACACTAAACCAAAGAATACACTAACCCAAGTTTACTTTGGGGTCAATTTGTCATAATTATTGAATAAATAAATCAATTAGCTCAAAGATATACAACATTCTGTTAACAATGGTTGTTAAACAATGTTTTCCTAAGTATTCCCAAAGCTATATTGCATTAGGTTTCATTCATCTTGTGTCTGGACTGCTGAGGTTGTAAATATAAAAAAATCTGCCTGTATACAGAAATAAATTTGATGTTAAAAACAAAAAAGAATGAAATCCATGTTGTTTTGTTCCTGTTCAAACACAAATCTCTATCATAACTTTCTGTGTGACAGGTTAAAGGAGTGAAAACAACAAACCTGGCAGACAAACAAAATAAACAATAAACGCTAATTAAGACTTCACAAAATAGTTATATGTTTGGGTTTTTGGCGGGTTTGTTTTTGTGCGTGGTTGTTTTTGTTTGTTTGCTTTAATTTAACGTCTGTTTGTAATATTTTTGCACATWTCTTGTCATGCTTCAAAAAATTTAACTTGGTTGTTAGTAATGAAACAACTAGAACAAAAGATGGCAGAAAGAGCTCTAYGAGAACGAACTCTAGGAGAGCTCTGAGACAATGAATTAAAATGATTTATCCTTCTTCTYAGAAGTTTAAGTAGGAAATAAGAGGAGAAGCTGACTCAGATTGCTACAAGATCTGATTAATATTACGTACAGCAGCAATGGTTTAGCGGTAAGGATTAGTTCTGCAAAGTTACATAAATACTGAAGTACAGCCCAAATTGGRCTACCCACCAATATGGACACTTGATTAGTCTGTTAAGMACAYTCTCMATGTTTTCCACMATTAGCATTGTATCTGTTTGCAATCCATTTTTACACTTCTGAGCAAATAGAACATAAATCTTAAATGTAGATTTCCAAGCTGACTACTCCTAGACATTAGCTTTAGGAAGAAGAATCAACACAGAAAATCYTCTGCTTTTTTTGCCCTCTTCAGAGGGTTTTACAAAGGAGAAAATAACAAGAAAAGACTGTTAGGATGAACTGACATATTTTCTCAAACAAAATTGCAATGAATTGTGTCACAGAACTGTGATGTTAATTACTTTTACAGCTTGTTTTATTGTGTTACACGGATAGCATGTTTTATTGAGCGGATCAAGACAGAAGTATGTACATCAATTAGAYCTGGGACATATGATTAGGAGAGTTAATGGAGTCTCTTTGGTCCACTGGATACCATTTCTTATTACTGGCAAGATTTGTTGGGCATTGCACAAACAAAGCCTTTTAGCAACCAAGCTGAAAGTTATCTGAGTTAACAGTACCTTTCAGTGACTGATTCTAGTTTTGTTCAGCTGGGACACTCCTTGYATCTTTGTCCCAAAATTAGGCCATGTTTGGAGGTTAAATTTTTGTGTATAAGCTATCTCAACCTCTGTTACAGAAAGATGTCTTTGAATTAAGCAAATACAGCTTTTTAAACCAAAAGGGAATAAATGTGGTCCACATTCTTTATCATTAGCTGAGCAGTAAGAATGAAAGGATGAAAAACACCAAGGCCTTTTTTTCTACACATAATTGCCTGATGCCTGTGTGTCTGGACTGCTGTAATAAAAGGGGACATATTTAGGATACAAGTCACCAGATGGTGCTGTAACATACAGGTTTAGACTTYTATTTTAGCCAAGCAGCACTGTTTMGTTCATGAAGAAATATTGTGGTGTTGCTTTTATGATACATTTTCTTTTCTGGAGAGCTGCTGCAAAAATTTGAAAAAAAATCCTCCTGTGTTTTCCCTTTGTCTACAACAAATACATGGGGCAGAACTGTTTTGTAGAAACTTGCCATTATTGCTGAGGGAAATATCTGAAAGAGAAAGATGCCCAAAGGCTATTTATGATCCACTGTGTAGTGCAGTGATTTGGTAATCCCCAAAATCCCTGAGCTAACTCAGAGGAACATTACAGTCAAGGCATGATTCTATAATTCTGTGACAGGGCAGCACATTTCAAAGTTTGCGAAGACTTTCTAGCATTCCCATTTAATGTCTCATGGTTGGAATTTCAATTACTGCTTTTCCAGAGTGAAAATGAAGTAGTTGAAAGTTAAGTAGTTGAAAGTTGTGGAGGCTGATAAAGTCTGAGAGAAGGAAACAATAATCACAAAGGTGTTAATTATTAAATACCTGCTCTTTTGAGCACTGCAGGTGTTTGTTCCTTATAAAAAATTGGAGAAGATATTCAAGTTGTGTCTACTGGGAAACTGATGTAGGAACAATACAGGCCTCAGTCTAAGAAAAAATKATCTTTAGTAACATGGTATTTCTCTTAATAATTCTCTAATTTGGAAGGACAGTATTAATAAGAACTAGAGAAAATAATTGATCATACTAGAAGTCCCTCCCCTCATCCTCAGCCTCCCATCTTACCAACCTTATTTAGAGGCATGTGTGTAACACGATGAAAAATAAATGTACAAATTTGGCATCTGGTTAAGTTTCTAAACGAGGAAAACTATCTTTTCTGACAAAGTAATTATACCAGTTCTCTAGGCTCAGAGTGCTCCAGCAAAAACACAGAATGAAGTTGCAACATGGCTAAACAATTAGCAAAGAAAACAAACAAAATCCTGTGTGTAAAAAATAATATTATTAACATTTGGAACAAAAATGAAAGGGGTTCCTCCTTTCTGTGAATCACTTTTATATCTGGAATGTATGGTGCCTTTTCAAGTCCAGGGTCAATCACCCTTACGTATGTCAAAGAGTTCCTTAGGGCCTTAAATCCCACCCAAATTAATTATCTCATGTGGGGAATAGATTGCAACTGAGAATGAGAAAAGTTATAGGAACAGGTCGCATCTGAGTATAAAACATATAAATTTCCAATGACTTTCAACAGATTTAAACTGCTGAATTAGTGTGTTAAACTTTTTTTTTTTATGGTGCTTTTCAGCACTTTCAGATGCACTGGCAAAGAAGTTGCTGTTACTCTAAACGAGGCACAATAATTTGAATTCCTTCATGTAGGTACCTGACTGGTCCATCTCTTTAATCCGTACTTCTGGATCCCAGCAGTTCTCTTGAATAACTCTAAAAACCTTTCCATCCTTCATCATCTTTGCCTGTCCCTGTGAAATGACATTTTCATATATTATAAATGTGACAAAGTAGTACCTGCCAATTTATAGACTCTTGAGTATATTGTGCTTCCCACAGAAATTCAGTGGCAAAATTTTGATGTTTTATTTTTATTCAGTAGGTATTTTTAAAAAGACTATTTGAAAAAGAGATATTATTAAGAGTAATTTATAGTTCAGATTTAATTCTTCAGAATAAAAAAAAAAATCCCCTTCCTTCTGCTATGTGCATCTCTCTATGTTCAGAAAAGATATCAGGTACCGTAATCCAAGTTTATCTTCAAACCAAATTTCGACCTCAAAACAATGCTGTAGTTAAATCTGTGCTAAATTTTCCCTTTGGGTATGTATGTGTTCTTTTAAAGTCAATAGCATGACCATGATTCCAGTAACTACAGAAATAATTGTGCAACTCAGATAATTTCAGTCCAGTTATTTCTTATCACCAGTGATACTGAGACAAAAGGACACCTATTGTGCTGTCTTCAGATTATGTTTTCTCCTTGGGAAGAAAAAAAAGTATTGAAAAATTTGGGAAAAAATTCCCTATCAAAACTTAAACAYAGTACAAACCCATGACCTTGAACTAGTATAAAAGCTTTCTCATATGCCACCAATTTCCAGGCTTAGAAAGTTCAAAATGTTATCACAGTCATGAAATTTAATACTGTTCCTTTGTCAGCATGAGAATTTTTAAAACTTCATTTTTGGCTGATGTGTGAATTGTTCAAAGAGGTCGAGYGCTCACAGTGTCACCACATCAAGCAAATTGTCTCTTACAGGGAGGGAGCTGCTACAGACTCGTACAGACAGACACAAGAGGATTTCTGCTGGCACAGATGGGTGAGATACAATCCACCAACAAAGGCAAGGCCAGAGTATTCCTTGGYTGTTTGAAGGTGCTGTAGGGACAAATGGGAATGGATGAAAGTCAGAAGATCCCCTGAATGCTGTGCATGTGGGGTGGGTAAGTCATGCAGAAAATGCACTGGGCAGAGAACACGCTCCATCTGCAGTTAAAAATCACAGAGAAAACACAGCAGCTATTCCTTCACCTTCCCAGCCAACAGGAGTAAGGCAGTCTTGGGACCCTCTGAGAAATTCTCTCTCTCCAAATGCCACTTTATTTTTCCTCGCAAAATTGGTCTTACTTACTTTTTAATCTTTCTAAAGAAAAGCATTCTGTTAAATCAGAATATTTACTACTAGTATGCTCAGTCAGGGGGGGGGGTTTCTTCTTCTGAGAACCAAAACCATTCTTAACCTTGAATTTGTTATTAAGTCAATACATAATTCACAAATATACTGCCCTAATGAATATTTTAAAACCCTCCTCTACAAATCCAAGTGTGCTGCCTTGGCAAACTGTCAAGTTACTTGTTAGCTGTATCACAGGTTGGGAAAATTACTCAAAATATCACAACTACATAGTCCTGATCCCCTGGTGAAATAATTCAGGTTCTTGTAAAATTGTTTTTCCAACCTGACAAAAAGGTTTACTGTAGCCATACACTCAAATACATTAAGAGAAGTTTAGTGCATTGCTGCAGRTTGTCCAATAAACAAAAAATATTTGGGGTGTCAGAAAAAGGAAGAGTAGAACTGAGCATTGCATCACATATGAATAYATCACATGGACTTYACTATTCCRCTCTAATCTACACTTCTCTACTCTRTYCTGTTCTAAAAATTAACTAATATTTAATGTCTTAATTAATTTATGTGGAAATTAAGAGAGATTTAAAAATTAAGTCCAGCAGGTGGATTTGATTCAGAAAACTACATTTAACATTCTCCCATCACTGAACTACTCCATCACATCCCAAATAGCTCTTTTCAAATACTCACRTAATTATTTTCTTCCAGTTTGACCCTGATGCTTCTTCACAGAATGTTAAGGGAAAGCTTTGCATTTTTTGTAATCTGAAAAGTTAATATCCCCAGTCCCACACATCTGAACAGGATTTTATTGTGCTGTGCACTTTTTATCATGCAAAATTTCACAACGGAAGYAGGCCAGACAGAATTCTCTGCGAAGTGTGTAAGGCCATTACTGACTTGCCACAAAGTTCCTCTGGTAACTATTTTTAGCACGGAATTTTAGCCTCAGACCTGTAACAAACAGCTAAGTCACCAAAAATGGGTCCAATCCTTGTCATTCCTGCAGCTACCATGTATCCCAAAAGCTCTGCCAACCACGCTTTGGTTCTACAGGTGGCTTGTTCTTGTTTATTAAAATACTGATTCTCATACAGATGACTGCATTTAACTAAACCAAACCTACATGTAATCTGCTCTAGGCTGACCTATCTTACTGTAAGAATTTCTCAGAGCTATCCATTTCAAGTGTTACAGTGGGATGATGATGATGATGATGATGATGATGATGACGAATGTATATTGGTTCATACAAAAGAATATGAGTTTCATCTTTCAGGCAAAATGTTCTTTTGAGGCATATTAGAACTTGGGTGATACCACTTCATAGAAAATCCACCTCTAGAGAAATATATATCAAAGACAGAGCTAATCTTTTTGCCACTTTGCTTCCTAATACATTCACTGGAGTTTGTATTCCTGATGACAACACAAGATCAGCTCTGAGCACCAAAGAGCCCAAACCTTGCAGTGATGATCCAGCTGCACCCATCCACCGTATCCATATCTCTGTGGAGGAAAGAGGAAAAAGCCAGGGCTAGTTAGCTCYTTGCAGTAATAATATTAATAATAACAAAATAAAAATAATAATAATGATAATGATAATAGCAGTTCTTACAAAAATACCTCATTCAGGAGAAACGCATGCTCAGCTTTGAGCCTCATTGACTTCAGCAGAAGTGCTGAAGTGAAAATTGGACTGGACTAATGGTGTTTGTAGATCTGGAATTTCAGCACCCAGTTCAACAACATTTTAAAACAGTTGATATAAAAATGCTTAGAGTTGCTTACTATTGAGGTTCTCACTGAAATAATTTTGACATAGAAAATATTAAATTAAGCATCTGGCAGTGTGAAAATTGAGCTGACAACTTTCCAATCTGTGATCAGTTAATCATTAGCACAAAGAYGCATTGATTCCACTTTTCAGCTTCCATGATTCAGCAGCAGGAGTGAAGGTCAGCCTCTTGTCTATTAATATTTAAACAGCCAAGAGAAGCTAAAAAGGAGAAGCTTAGATGCTCATTGATTCTTCCAGAGAGATTCAGAATTGTTCATGCAAAAAATGCAAAGCCCACATAAGATGTTGATTTCCTTTTACTTTCATAAATTATCAATTAGAAAGGAACAAACTCTTGAAATCTCTGTGTGAAAACAACACTCAGAATTCCCATCTCTCTGTAAAGATAAATTTAAAAGGAAACTAAGTAAGAGCAGGCTTCTTTTCACCGAAGTGTAAACAATTTGGATGAAATCCTGAATTTCCTGTGATACCCAATCATCACTAAATGCCACTGAGAGCTTTCCTAATGTGAGTGTGCAGAGCCAAGCATCCTGACCTCAGCCAGAGATTCACTGACTGTGGCTGTGTGCTCTGTTTAACCATGTAGCTATGACGATTTTATTTAATTTTTACACGTATAGGTTTATACATACATAAAAATATTGAAATTTGGGAAAAATTTAATGAGTGATGGCTGATGAGAACTTTAAATTGACCCATGCTAATTGTAATTGTAAGGTGAACAGAAAACAAGTATGTTAAATGGGTACTGAAGGAGAACGTAGGCAATAGAGAAACTCATTGGTGTGATTTTGAGCTCATTTTATTCTTTCGTCCCCTCAGCTATTTGCTCTATGTATTGACAATCCTTACCTNTTTTTTTTTTAATTTTTTTTTTTTAAATTTTTTTTTTTTTTTTTAATTTTTTTTTTTTAAATATATTTCTATACTTGTGCTAGTTTCCTAGGCTGTTAAATCTTGACAACAGGATTTTCTAGATTGAAGGCCCAGCATTTACAAAGCTGGAAACAAGAAAGAAAAGTTTAGCACTGACTAAATCTGTGCATGTTAAGGTGCCTCATTGGTTTTCCTTGCATGGAATGGAGAGATCTGTGTTAATGGCTTGAATTTCCAAAACCCCCCAGGGAATTCTGAGAGTTGTTTTCAACTCTGAGCCCATTAATAAACCATTGAATTGCTCAGAACAGAGGGAAAAAAACAACCTAGCAGGTGGAAATTAAATTTAAAAAATTTGGTATTTGCCTCTTTATCTGAGTTTGAAGAAATGCAATACTGGCCTACAGTGTCCAACATTAGTGAATTTAGCCTTAAAGTATATCTGTGAAGATCAAGGAATTCTTGGGGTCATTTTAGCTTAGGGAATTTATTGACCTTTTAAAGTACAAACAGACAAAAATATATAATTWAAAAAATCCCCAACCATGTAACATCAGAATGAAGGAATTCTATAGGCATTTTAATGAAGTTATAGCACAAAGACAACAAAATCTGAAACAGGCAAAAGTAACCTGTCTTTGTAGTCTGGATATTTAAACTCCTTTACATTTAAAACAAACATTATTATTCTAAAAATAACAGTATCCTCACCAACATYATCCACTATATATGTGTTTTTCATCAGGAGCTCTTACTATACAAATAGGAAGTTCAAATAGATATTTATAAAAACCTTCCTAGATCAACAAGCAAATAGACATTCCTTTCCAGGAGGTTTTATGCAGAATGATTTTTCACAACTAATGAAGAAATAATCCTATGTATGTTTTTAATGCCAGGTTTTCTCATGACTTTTTTTCTAATATGCTCTTTAGRTTTCCCAGCTGCTCTCTCTCTTTAATATTGACTGAAACTGAACTGCTTAAAATCACAGAAACAGAGTTAATAGATATTAAACCCTTTAGATTTATTACATTGAAACCTAAATGACATTTTTCAGTCTCAAATACATTTTACGGATCATGAAAAATATTGCAGGCAAGAATAAATTTATTAATAATAATAATAATAATAATAATAATAATAATAATAATAATAATAATAATAATAATAATCTAAAAAATAATACCACCACCAAATACTAAAAGTTAACACAAATTGACTTATAGCTTCAGTGTTCTGACAACTGAGATTTTCTGTTTTTAATACAAATAGGCTATTTCTTTCCAGTAACTGAAAAAAATAACAGATATTAATAGAATTATCATCCTCATCAATTAACTCTACCTAGAGTGGCCCCACTGCCATTGAAGTGAATGACTTCCATGCCTGTGGATGTGAGATGTGAATGAATTTGTCTTAGTGAACATTAATCTTGATTAAGATTTGATTATTTTATTTAAAATAAAAGTGAGTAGCATTTAGGAACAGAACAGCTCCATTTCTATCAAGAAAATGAAATTTCTACCCTATCTGAAAACACAAAAAATCSAAGAAAAATGTAAAAATTGCTTTAGAATAAATAAAAAGTGGGGAACAGAGACCAGTTTTGCATCATTTTCCGACTGGGACTCTTGCTTTGCAAAGAAGTGCAATACAAATATTTTACAGCTGGAAAAAAAACCCCACCCCAAATTAGAAAAACACCCAGAGATATTTATGACAGAACCCTTCACTCATTTTTGTTTCAAAAATCACATTGGTAGAAATGGTTGCTGATAGCATAAGGCACTGAATATCTAAATCTCATTACCTTTTTTAGGTCAGGCCATTCCTTAGGTAGAATGTGGCTATGAATATCAATTTTCATTTTTGAAGTAGCAGAGGAGAAATACTCCTTCAATGCTAACGTTTTCTGTGTCAGTGCTGCTACCCCTCCTGTCCCTGGGTCACAGGTTATTCATTCTGGCAGCTGTCCAGATCCACCTGCTGCCTTATCAGAATGAGGTACAGTGGCCAACCAGGGAGCCCAATTCCAGAGGAGTGGCTCTCCAAAAGAACAAAGACTTGGAGCAGAAAGTCCCTGTTAATGCATAAACTGCAGCTGACTGAGGGCAAAGGGAAAATATTTGTTTATATTGGCGCTGTGAAGGGATTTATTGCACATGGAAATCTAAAATGCCGAAAGTAATTCAATAAAATTGAGTTAGAATAAATGTATTAAACATGCTGACTTGAATTCCCTCCTCTCTCCCTCTTAGGTTGTGAAATAATTTGTAGAGAGCATATCGTATCCCTTTGGCAGACAGTCACACATCCTCATCTATTCCCTTTTTTCTCTTGCATTTTCTTAAAAGTTATGTAACTCTCCTGCCCCCAAAATATTGAATTGTAGCCACATCTATGCTCTGCACTTTATTTCCCCCTCCTCATTATTGGTTCACTCAGGATATTTACACAAGCTACTGCATAATGGTGCTTACAGCCTCTCAAGCTGCCTCAATTATACTGCAATACATAGATGTATTTCAAATATAACAGCTTCTGCATCCTAAGTTAAGCTTAACTGGAGCTATTTCAGATTTYCTGTGAAACTAGATCTCATCTTTTGCCCTTTACTCAATTTAGAATTACACTTTGTTGCTCAAGATACCCTTGCTCTTTATTTGTGCTGTATTTTTGTCTGTAATTTATTCCCCCCGTAGTTTTATTTAAATGTATGTTACTCACACAACGTCCCCTTGTGAGTGTTTGTTAACCATTCCCTGTTTGGCTTGTTTTTTTTGATGAAAAATGCTGATTTTTTCCCCCCAAAGTGAAATGCTACTGAGAATCTTGCAACTTGAAATCAAGCATCTTGAAAAACAAGTGGRTCATTTGGTTGTATCCTTTTCCTGACTTCACTATTTTGTTTGGGCTTCTTAAAAAAGGAAAAAAAAAAAAAAAGATGGACACGTATTCCCCTGCTTGTTCACTCATTAAGCAACTCTGCTTTGGATTTAGTCAGATAACTTTCTTAAGAGTTATTTTTCATGTCAACTTCTTGTGACAGGGTTGGTTGGTTTTTTGACCCTGTACTCCTCTGCAGCAAGAGGTCACTGAAGACTGAATGTTTGAAACAAATAGGAAGCAGCAATTTTGGGAGAGTATTCCCTAAATAGAGCAAGACAGCCAACAATTTACTTTAGCAGTTCAAAACTCTGGGATTGAAAGTAGCAATTATTTCCGTCTCAAAACCAAAATCAATCTCTTCATGACCAGGCTGCCAGGTTAAGCAGYAAATTTGCTCTCCTGGTCCCAAAAGTGACAGCCATGCTGTGTGATGTGGCACTGCAGTGTCAGCCTGTTGACAGCAGCGTTTCTGCATGGACTACAGCTGACAGAAGAAAGAATTGATTCAGCTGTGGGAACTGTGAATCCACAGTTAAAGTGAGCCCTCCAACAAAGAGATGTCTGGAAGACAATTCTCTACTCAAGCATAGAAGGCAGAGTGAAGTGAAGGAAAGGGGCAGGGAGACAGATTTTTGMACCTGAATAGTCTAAGACACGAAGATTCTTCAGTCACCATAGCTGCAGGATTCCTCGCAGAGCTCATTTCTTCAACACTGAGCTTAATTTTCCTCAGCTCTTAAAAAAGCCGTAGTTGTTAGTTACTGCTCCCAAGACACAGYTTAGCTTGCAAACACTGTAGTACTCCCACGCAGCATTCCATTTAACAAAACACATTTGGAAACCATGCCAGTTGAAGGCAAAATGTGTATGCATGTCACTTGATCAAAGGGCAGTGAGACATCTGACTGTATCCAACCTGATCCACTGGGTCAGCAGCAGAAAGACCTTCACTGGCTATGAACAAAAAGCTCTTCAGCTACTCTAGACTGGAAAACATGATTAAAAACTCCTTCAAGGACAATCTAGCTAGGGACTATTCAGCCAAGGCTGATTTCCGATACACAGACACAAGCTTAGCAGATCTATATGGTTTTATTTCACTACAGGGACAAGAACTACAGTGAAAATGGTGTTAATTGTGGGGCATACAGTGCCCTTTTCCAAAGCTATTTGGCTGCTTTTCTGAAACAAGCACACAATCTGAGGTTTGGAGTCTTCASGATGGAAATCTGTTGTCGAGTTCTGGCCTTTTTTTTTTTTATCAAGGTGAAAAATATTCCTCCTATTAGTAGGAAAATCATGACATCTTCAAAAGAGGCTGCATCAACAAACACTGGTAAGCTCTGCAGAGAGCTCTGCACATCCATGCTCCAAGGCAGTCTATTTTCAAGCAGGGTGAACACAGACACAAAGAGGCAAATTCAGGATGCTGACGTTAGAAAGGGCTAAAATACTCGTGCCAGTTTTTCATACCTTCCATTTTGCACGTTCTTCTCTGGCATCTGTTCCTGGAATTGCACATTTGATTGTGCAAATTCGCTGTTTTACACATGTGCACAGCTCCAGGAAAACAAACAGAAAACTCTTTGTGCTTAGAAGCTGAGATGAAGCACTTAAAAGAATACGTTCCTTTCCAAATGAAATAAATGTTGAGCAGCACACTTATATTGGTTGCTTAGCAACAGGTTATCCTTTGGCTGTGCTGGGGACTGCTGGGTCCTTTGAGACTGCCATTGCAGACCTGCTTGGAAATGTCAGATTTGGAAAGGATGCAAAAGTCACTAATTCTATTTTTTTACTGTGGCATCAAATAATTAAACCTCTCCTATTAAATTAGCCTGATCASGGAACTTAAACCTCTTCTGGGACTCCAAAGAACACAGACTTCAGTGGGAGTGGTGTGGTCTGAGTTCTGTGGGGAATAGCAACAGTGGTTATGGTTTCCCTCCTAATGAGATATAACATTTTGCTGTTCCCATGTAGCACTTCTCATGTGTAGCTCTCAAGCACTATTTTTGACAGGAAGACATTATTTGACCAGGAGGACATGTCCAGCTACAGCCACACCAGTAAAGCCCTTAACCAAGATGCATCCCAGAGAGTGGGTGGTGTTAAGGCTGGCTGGTTCTATAATGCAATGAACCAAACACTCCGGTGTGACTGCCTAAGCTCCTGGTGGCTCTCACAGCCAGGGTTGCATTGCCAAGGTTTCCTTTACACACATTTATAGAATGCAACAGAAAAGGCACACGCCCCTCCAATCTACAGCCAGCCAAASCAGCTCAAGGTGGCAGCAGTGCGGRTGTGTTTGTCATTAAATGCTGAAGAGCAGCAGATTTTTCACTTTGCTGTTAAAAAGCCTYTGCAGAAACAAACAACTGTAAGAGYCTCTGTTTAGGCAGACATCAGAGCTGATGCTGCTGTGTACCTTGAGCCAATTTAGCCTTGCAGAGAAGTTGGGCTTTTCAGCTCAGGTGTGATGCTGTACTGATGCATCTCTGATGCTTCCAAGATCTCAGCTATTAACTCAGTGAAGTTTCACAGCAGCACAAGCTCAGAGTGATGCTCCCCAGGGTGGTCTCTCTATTAGACACACCACAGCCTTTTCATGCTGCTAAAATTTACGGTGTAAAGGTGTCCAAGGTTGCTGATGCCTCTGGCAGCCCTGCACTGCTCTGTGATCACCATTTTAGCAAGAGTTCTGATGAATCACACAGTGGTGAAGGCAAACAATGTGTCCTCTGCCAGATTCGTGACCATTACTGTRTTCTCTGCTGCCTAAGTTAAGCCATAAAAAAATTCCTTATTTCTAGAAAATATTGTATTGTTGAAATTCAACAGCCATTCTAAAAGAATAGAAGGAAATTATATGGCTATCTTTCAAATAACATAACTACTTTCTTAATACACTACAGTTGCAATTCTGCAATTTACACTTTCCATGCATTTATCTTGTATAGAAATCTTCTACCAAAAATGTTAATTAAATAGATATTTTCTAAAATATCAGTATGAGAAAAATAGAGCTTTTTTTTTTTTTTTTTTTTTTTTTCCATGTGTAGAGTCAAGCAAATAAGGAGTACACTATTTAAGCATGTACCAGGCCAAGTGTCACTCCTGTGCAGCGGGAGCAACCAGACAGATACCAGCAGCATAAACATGGGCCAGAAAGAACAGATGGAATGAAGCTTACAGATAYCAAAAAGTCATCATTTTCAAGTTAATACCCCATGGTAACATCTGAAATAGTTTCAATTATTTAGRAGGCTGGTGCCTAAAATAAATGAATAGTAACTCCTGCTGTATGTTGTCTTAACAACTTTTTTTTTCCTGTGTGCTGGATAGTCAAATCCCCACGTTTCCCTCTTTGCAGAGGCCTCTCTGTGCCACTCTTTGGGCACATCTGAATTTTGGRGACAAGGACGGTCTTCTCAAAGCTATCACTCCCTCAGAAAGGAACTGACTGCCAAAGTAAAGATCTCCCCAGCTCTGCTGTTGTTTACAATGTAAATGTTTAGGGTTTWGTACTCCAGATGCATTTATTCATTYGGCTGGAGGAGGGAGCCTGGCAGAGCAATACCTCCACAGAACATTTCTGGAGCCTACTTTCACTTGCTACAAACAGGCAGGCTCTGCTTTGTTTTTTTAAATTCCAACATTTGGAATTTAGTAACATCCTCCGATGATGAACCAGGTTCCTCACAATTACTAAAAAAGGATCCATGACTTCCTGGCTATGTTTAAATATTTAAATTTTAATTTTTTTTCTTTATTTGCTGAAAAAAATTAAGAAATTGTCATTTTCTTGATCACAACTACAACCGGGATGATATTGCAAATACATCAAAACATGTGTGTTCATATCTGAGAGAGAAGATCATAAACAAAGCCACTCCCAGATAAGATAAGATCCACTCCCAGATAAGATCTGTCCCTTTAGGACATTGCCACTCCTCCCCATCTAATGTTTCATGTAAACTTTTTAACAACATAAAAAAATTACAGATGTTTTGGAAGAACTCTGTGGTAATTAATAATTTCAGACCCAACAGAAAGACCCCTTAAGTCACCAGGT